CCCCCCGTCATTTCCGCCAAGTATCGGCGCGTCTGGTCAGGACAATAATACTGCTCGCAATGACCGGGTGCTCGACCCACATTCTCAGGGGAAGAGTCGAGCTGCTCCAGAAACACCCGAGGTCAAGGACAGACGTCTCATGTTCTCATACTTTAAATCCCTGAAGAAGAAGAAGCATCAAAAAATGGCGAGGCATTGGAAGAGGAAAGCACACGGAAAACTCAACGAGATCATGTTGAGAAACTATCGCTATGTGGTTTTTCTTCATATTGAAGGTACTCCTTTTAGAGAGACGATCTCATCCAATCCATTTTGCCCCTCTTTTGATGAGTTTATGATGAAAATAGACAACCCCGTCCTTTCCAAGCGCGCGCGTGTGTACCCTGCTCCCTCAGATGCAGAGGTTGACACTGTGTTGGATGCTGCTGGTGATCTAAGAGAGGGTGATACGACTGAATTAGGCACAAGTTCGGCGGGAAGTGAACCTGCTTTTACACTCTCCGAATTTTCTAGGCTTATCATAATGCTCCGCCATAATGAACATTGTCGCCAATTTATCCATTTGTTACAGCAAGAGCTGACAAGAGCGCAGCTTGACGCAGGAAGATCTCGGGACAGTTTCAGGGCAAGAATCGCTGATCGCTTTAATGACCCTTCTGAGCATATTGAGTACTCTTTTGATGGATGGGTCGAGGACGCCGAACCGAGTCTTCCACCTCTTTGCGTTAGAGCGGCATCTGTACTTAAGGACCAGTATGCGCGGACACGCACTGGGTTCACTGTCTACAAAGATAGGTGGGAGCGTTCGGGACAAAACGATCTGGAAAATTTTAGGAGTTTCTTGCCGACGTTGGATAATGGAAGACATAGCCTTACGGCTTTGGGAAAGCGGATGCTTGTTTTTTTTAAAGTTTCCGGGCTGAGGACGCCAAATTGTGACGATGAATTCGTGCGGAATTCATCTCGAGCTATGATGGATGGTGGTTTCGATGAGGGTGTACCATCGTTGCACATGCGAGTCGTTAATGATGGGGTCCGGCCTGCAGAGTCGGAGTCTACAACGGGGCGCCACCGTAGGAGCTTAAGTGGAAACACTGACAAAGCTGCCGGAAACTTGATCACAGAGGTGACAAGCGCGATAAGGGAGTCCGTCTCACGGGAAGAGGAGATAAGCCGGCATTGGAATTCGGGTGAACAAAAGAGCGTGGTGTCGCGGGAAGTGCAGTGGTCGAAGGACAAGCAGGACCTCGTAAACGTGCTAGAGTATTCAGTTTTGAAACTGGAGGCTGCGAAATCCAGACATGCTCCGACGGAATACATCGAACTACTTCAGAGGCACTACAGCGACTCTCTGAAAGCATTCGCGCGCGTTAATGATAGATACGAGAAATAGGTGCAGCGAGAAGTCAACGACGATCAGGACGAGGGATAATTATGCAGTGGGTAGTCATGTATGATGGTGCGCTACAACAAAAGTCGGGGTGTGTTGAGCCTGCGTGTAAAACGGATGCCCAATCTTGTCCGTCACGTTCTTGACAGAATTTTGTGAGGCACCTCGTGGCTCGGCCCGTCCAATTCCATGCCCGCGAAAATCCTGAACTTGCGTAGAGCCTGGCATGTTGGCTGCCGTAATGGGTTGGTACGCAGCAGCGCTTTCAACAACGCGTGCCCGTCCGTCGACAGTACCATCTTCGGGATCTCTGCCTTACCTTGATTCCGAGCCCCTTACCCACGCGACAGATGCCACACCGGTGGCAATTGTACACCTCCTTCCCCTTGGAGTCATCAAAAAACTTGCACGCGCCACAAAAGTACCTGCCAACTTGGCAACAAGTGCCGCTCGTCCGGCGCCGTGTTTGAAACACGACGCCGCACGAGCGGCAATTGTCGGCGACGGGCTTGTCCTGGTCGCCGCAGGCGACCCAGACGACCAGCTCTGCCGCGTGGCGGTCGATTTCGTGGTCCTCATCCTCATCGAGGCCGCGTCTGCAAGGGTAGTACTTGCCGCAGCAAGCGGCCTTGAGCCAGCAGTTGCGCGTGTAGTTTTCGCAGCACTTGGAAACGCCCTTGCCGGAGAAGCGTTGGGTGAGGTGGCGGGTGAGGTCGGGTTCGCGGCTGAGGGCGCGCTGGCGGGCCCCAGCGAAGAGATTGCGGATGCGCTCGGCCTGCTGGGACTCGGAGAGGGCGGGGTCTTGCTGGATGGCGCGCACGGCGTCGTGCATGGCGGTGGAGCGGGAGGTGGGGTGAGGTTCCTTGGGGCCGGGGGCGGCGCGGTCGTTACACGCGGGGACGGCGGGATGCGGGGAGGAGGGCTCGGGGTGATCGTGGTGGTGGTGGTGAGGGTGCGAGGTAGGGTCCATGGCGAAATGGAATTTGTCGGGGTTCCCACAGGAGAGCTCCGGGTGATATGCAAGCTCTGTGCCAAGTCGCTTGGTGGTGAAAGCGGGCAAGCCCGGGGGCGAGTTGACGGTCAAGGCGATAAGTGGGTATGCGGACATGACACGCCTAGGGCCGGGGGTAAAGGAAGGGGGGAAGGAATATGGGAGGAGGGAGGGGGGGATGGAGGGGGCTGGATTGAGATATGAAACGAAAGATATGGAAGGGATGGAGGATGCGGGGAGAGACTGTGTCGGTGTCGATGTTAGAAGGATGACGCGGTGGCGGGGACAATAGCATGTCGGAGGATGTGTGTTGGTCACGGTACTGAGGAGGTGAGGAAGATGGTGATGGGGCGTGGTGGTCGGGCGCGAGGCAGGGGCGGCGGGGAGGAGGGGACGTGGTCATATTTGGGGGGGAAGGGGGGTTGGTGGCGGGGGGGAGGGAGCGAGGGCGGGGTGGTTCACAGGAAAGGGATTTCGGCGAAGCCACTTCATCATCGATCATGAACTAGAGAGCAGCCTCCCCGGCTTCTCTCCATTTCATGATCGATGCCAAGGAGGCATTTTATTTCAAAAAGCTGAACTCTGGGTACCCTTCTGCCGTCCGGTGGTGCTCCGTTTCCTAAACAGAGTGTGAAATGCTAGCAAACGACTGTCGCAAATTTCACGTGGGCGTCGAGGCGGGGGAGGGCCGAGTTATGCACATAGACGCGCCACGAAATCTCGCACGGGGTGCGACATGTGGACACGTGTGGGCGTGAGGCGTGACCGAAGGCCGGCTGGGGTTGCCAACCCCAGCAACCAATGGTTGCTGGATGACTTGTCGCCAGCAATTGCTTGGCCAGACAAGGGCGCCCCACTGCTATTGTGGCTCAACGGGCGCGGGCCTCCCCACCGAAGGCTTAACAGCCAGGACAAGGCGACCTGGACCGCCCCGAACTGCTCATGTATGCGAGAAAAAGCCGCGCGCGTTGGTGATACGGTGACTGCGAAGGGCGCCGGAGGTTTGACCCCCCTCCGCAAGCAGAAGGTCGAGAATAGGAGGCGCGAAACCGCGGCTTTTCACAGTCGTCCGATGCATGCGGCATGGCGGCTCTTTAAGGTAGTGGCAGTGACCTGCATCCTAGACTACACGCGCTAGCAAGCCCAGCGAGGAGACCGAGCCTTGATAGGACTTGCGCGTTCCCACCGCCAACCCACACTGGTTTCGGCCACGATGACAAGGTAAAAACACAGGCTAACTACTTTCGACTTCTTTTTCGGAGGCCCTCTGCATCTATCACCGGTGGTCTCGATAGGCCCTTTCTTTCTATAATGTCAACCATGCTCCTCCGTTTTCTAGACAGCTCACGACGGGCTCCCTTGGTATTCGCCACAATCTCTGCGGCGTCATCCTTCATCCTGCGATACCAACCCTGCTCATCGCCCCCCAGTTCGGCCAATTCTTCCCCAGTAAAACTTCTCGTAATCCTCACATCTGCACGATCCAGAACAAAATTATGCAACTTCATAGAAAGAACAATTAAACGCGCGTTAGTGTGTAGCGAAAAACTGAGTTGGCTCAAGATCCTCCACTTACCGACTAGCATCCCAAAAGCTTGCTCTACATGCATTCGGAGGGAAGAATGATAATAATTAAATGCGTCTTCCGCGTCCGTCGCACTGGCTGCAGGAAAGGGCGTAATCAGAGACTCCGTACAAACATATGCCTCATCCCCCGCTATCCAACACTCGAAATGCAACTTGCCAGATTCTAGATAATGCCCAAGTGCCGATACAGTGTGGGCCACAGAGTCATGAGTTGAACCTACGCAACGCGCCGAGCAGCATAAAAATCTATAGTCAGCGTCAACTACAGCCTGCACAGGTAAAGCATAATACAGCTTTCTACAAAAGAAAGTGCTCGGTGCGTGGCACCACGCGGGCTTCTTGATTTTGATGGCTATACCGTCCAAAGCGCCAACGCAACCGGAAAGCGGAGACGGGGGATTACGAGACATCTTGAAAGTTTTTGCCGAGTGACGTAAACCAGACACTGTGGACGGCAACCCGGGCAGCTGCAATCTTTCTGACAATACTGTACACGTAGAATGAAACACATTGTAAACTGATGTCTTAGACATCTGATAAGTACCCATTAAGTCTAGATAACTTGCGCCAGCCATCATCCTCAGCGTCCCGGCAAGGCGTACATCCGGTGGAATGGTCCGTCGTTTTGCCCGTCGTCCCATTTCGATATTCTTCTGGAGAGACTGCCTAACGCTACTAAGCAATTCATGAAACGCTTGGCGTGGCATTCTGAAAGCCCTGCAGAACAAAGCGTCATCATAAACCAGAGTCAAATTTTCAAACGTCAGTTATTCCCGCAAACGCAATTCCAGGCGTACTTTCCGCGTTTTCTTGTCTTTTTTGGAATTGAGAAGAATTGCCGCAGCCGCGAGCAGGTACAAAAACATCCTTCTACGGCGCATTCGCAATAGGACGAGCTCAATTCGGCGGTGGATTTCAGGACTTAACTTCATTGGTAGAGAAGAAGTTTGAAACCCTGACGAAGGAAAGGGAGTGCTGGGGAGGACTGTGTTGGATACTGGCGGTTGCTGATCTATCATGACCGTTTTGGTCATGCACATCGAGGGACCTCATTATAGCAACACGTCGTCCAGCTTTGCTTTTGTCGAGCTACAGGGAGTCAGACTGGGCCATGTGCATGCGCGAGGAGGCGTTGCTGTACCTTCCATGCTGCATGGATCTGCAGACCGTCCAGACTCTGTTCCATTTCCGAGAAGTGGAACTTTGGGATGGCATTACAGTAAAAACTACAGCAATGTGCTTCCGATTTTAGTGAAGAACTCAATAAAAACGGGGCGAGGGAAAGGAAAAAAGAGAAAAAAGTCCTTTGTTAGGACTGGCCCTCACTCTCACACCGTCGTACTCACTCCCGGACCGTCGTACCCATCCTCCTACTACCCTCGTACCTATCTTCACACCCTCCCTCGTACCGTACCTTACTCACTCTCACACCGTCCTACCCATCGTCATCACGTCGTACCTATCATCATACCCTCCCTCGTACCGTACCCACAGAACCAGTCAGGCGCTCATTCAACCCTCCCTTATCAGCCTCGAGAATGTCAATGTCATTCACATGGCGGGAACACGCATTTGACAACTACGACATTGAAACTACAAATCGGCTTCACTCTGAAAGCAGCAGTGACGAAGAAAATCCCGCCGGCCGCTCTCGACCTGGAAAAGCCCCTAACATAGACCGCGATCGACACAGTGGCGCCGAAAGGCTCCACCGAGACTACTTTACCGAAAATCCTGCGTACAATGATGACCTTTTCCAAAGACGGTTCCGCATAACTCGAAAAAGATTCAAAAATATCATGGACACCCTTGCGAAGAATGATAGATATTTTGTTCAACGGAAGGACTGCACCGGAATGCTAGGCTTATAAAGCTATCAAAAAGGCACAGCAGCTCTTTGCATGCTTGCATACGGATCCGCTGCAGACTCTTTGGACGAGTACGTCCGTATGAGTGGGTCTGCAGTCTCGAAAACCTTACAACATTTTACCAGAGGAATAATTGCGGCGTACAATCCTACATATATGCGGCACCCCACTAGTGATGATATGGTGCGGATCCTTGCGCTTTCAGAAAAACGCGGGTTGCTGGGGATGCTTGGAAGCATCGACTGCTGTAAATGGGCGTGGAAGAATTGCCCCACCGCGTGGCACAGCCAATACCAAGGAAAAGAGGGAGTTGCTTCTGTCACTCTAGAGGCAATTGCTGATCAGTCTCTGGATTTGGCATGCCTTTTTAGGGATGCCAGGCTGTAAGAACGATATAAACGTACTTGAGGTATCCCCTTTGTTAAATAACATTGCAAATGGAAACTATCCCCCTCCTATCGAGTACAGTATAATGGGCGTCAAGCGAAATGTCCCCTACTGGATAGCGGACGGGATCTATCCTAAGTGGCCGGTTTTTGTACACACCGTAGCTGAACCATTAACAGAGAAAGAAAAGTGTATGACGAGACACCAAGAAGCTGCTCGTAAGGATGTGGAGCGAGCGTTTGGTGTTTTGCAGTCGAAATGGAACATTATTTCTCGTCCTGGACGGTTTTGGAGTACGTCATTCATGCATGACGTAATGAATTGTTGTATCATACTCCATAACATGTGCGGTGAGGACAGACAGGACGACAATGACCCCCCTTTTCGCGAACAACCATTCTCTAGATTTGTAATAGGGAATGATGCTACCCCTTTATGGGGTGAGCAAGGAAACACGGTGGGACCTGCGACTGCCCCGGTTGGAAACCTTTCGGCTCTTTGCGCCACATCGGCAAAAATGAAAGACCACCAAGGACATATGAGGACTAGGGCGTTGATAATTGACCATCTGTGGCAGCGAGAGGGTTGCCTATAAATATTTTAAGCCTCCGGCGAAGAAGTTTGGGTTCTAAGTATCAGGTGGTGCTGTGACTCCACGAATGATCCGAGTCATTCTGTCGGGACTTCAGTACCCCATCCTTGTAAAAGTTCTTTAATTGATATACCTAGGTAAAGACACGCCGTCACCGGCGATACGAGTAAAATCGAAACCTTTCATCGCAGTAAATTAGTTGCCTGCCCTAGCCGACACCTCATCACTCCCTATATCCCAAGCCTCCTTATCCCTCAGTAAATCTATGAACCACACGGTTGGCTTCTTGCATTCTGCAAAAAAGGGCCGTGGCAATGTAGGGGAGCAACATTAGTGTTGGAAAGCGGGGTATTGCATTACCGTATCTGCCACGGTTGCGAGTTGCATAATGAGCATAGGCGGAAATGTAATGCCTTACCACCCCGGCCAGAAACCCTGCGTCCGCCGCCGCCGATCCCCCTCACAACACCTTCAAGCTTCAGCCTTCACCTTGCACCATTGCGCCCGTGCCCAAACAGAGCACAGTGCTTGTATCTCACGCCGTTTCGTACAGAGTTGCTTTGTGACTTTAGAAAAGAGGATCTCGATGAGGCATTGGAGTAGCACCCGGAACACAGCACGTCATTTCAACATCAGTCGTACGTAGACGTCCTTTCTCTACACACCTCACCCACCATATCGCTAGTCTCTCATGAGCACAACGTTCTGAAAGGCATCCTCCACCCTTTCCACCCTTTCCTCCCTAGGCAACTCCCTTTTGTACAGTAATATCCCTTGGTCAGTAACATCCCTTGGTCAAGTGTTCTGTCCCGCTCAGCCTTTTGATTGCGTCCTGTGGTTTCTATCGTGCTGGTTTCTGCTTAAGATGCAGAAACTGATGACATGTCCATCCACACTTCTAAGTCTTTGACCCTTCGTGTGCTGCCTCCCCTTGTAGCCCGCGCATGCCAACGCTCCAACCATCTGTGGCATAACGGCGGTTCACGATTAGATTTAGATTAGATCAATATGAGCCACACGCGCGCACACGTGTACCGCGCATGTACCCCACGTGTACAGGGGCGCGCGCACGCACGTGCACACGTGTACCACACGTGTAGGAAGCGCGCATACCCACGAGTACTATACGTGTACAACACGTGTACAGACAGCACGGGACGGCCCGTGCTGACTACAGTAGCACTACAGTACAGCCCGTACTGTACTGTAATAAGTTAGGATTACTTGATATATTAAATACTCGAGCGGACCGGCGGCGGTGAGAGGGACAAGCACGGACTTGTCCACGACCTACCGCCTAGGTCCGTCTTCCAGCTTAACCAACGAGCGCGATCCACCTTCGCGCGCGTTAACCGGGACAAAGCGGGTAGGGGACAGCCGCGTACGCGAGCGAGCCTAAATCCGCCTCCGCCTGTCAGCGCTGGTACGTTACCCAGCGCTGCTCCGGGGCGTCGAGGCGTAGATCGGCCCGCGCGTACGCTCGTCCCCGACCGTCCCGCTCTACCACGCTACTAGGGACCGCTTCTCTGTCTCGTTAGCTGTGTGTTCTCCCCGTCTTCTGGCCCCTCGTACGGGGTCTACGTCGAGCTAAGTACACCCCCCCTCCGTTGGGGGGTGTTATACTACACCATCGACATTGATTAAACTTCCACACGTGTACCACCACCGACGCTGTACTTTCCCGCCCTTCCCAGACATTCACAACTCATATTTTCAATGTCCGACAAACTGCTGGTCTACCTTTCTTCATGGACTCTCCAGTGTGAAGGTACCGTGTGGTCCATTCGTAGCTACGGCTACTGACCAGCCACTCTTCCACCGCCATCAGTACCCGACATACAACGCATTTGCACATCACCATTCCTCCCTGCAATCGGATTATATCTGCTATTTCGGACCGGTTTCCTGCTTATTTCTACTGCAGAAATAGACAATTCCTTCCCGCAAAGTGCGTGTTTCGTCCGCTCTGCCCTTGCACATGATCGCCATGACACAATCCGTGTAGTTTCAGCTGAAGAGTGATATTCCGGGAATCCTAGGATCCCCGGAATATCACTCTTCATCCAATCAGGCAATTTACTTTGCTGTCCTCCTCGAAAACGTATTGCGCGATAAACTGCCTTGCAAGTTGGCTGTATCATCTTTGCAGGCTTTCGCGCTCAACATGGCAGAGGAGGGCGGAGATGCGGTGGCTTGTGGGTGGGGCGGAAGGGAGGGGGGAGGGGAAGGGGTCCGGTGGGAGGGGGCGGCTGGAGCGGGGGGAAATAACTATTTTCCGAAATGCGGGAGAATTTGCGGGGAGTTCCATTTGGGTCCGTTTTCAACGTTCGGTGCGTTTGTGAGGTGGGGCGGAGTTTTAAACACGGGCAACGTCCCGCCCTTGAAGCTTGGCAACTGCAACCGACCAGAATGCGCCCCGGCTTGAAACGCCGTTCAAGCGTGTCAACCACAGAAGGTTTGGCAGCGCGCCTCGGCGTGAAACGATGACAAACATGCTTAACGTTTGAGCTCAAAGGCCTCTCACGTAGGTACGAGTTATCACTCAATGGCACTGTAAAAAGCCGATCGCGTCCCATCAGCACGCTTCATGGCGAGGAACAGAATGTCGAAACGGAGAGAGGGCACTGGTTAAAACATATTATGATCTTCTTTCTGGTCTCGCATTTCAACGTATCCGGTTCCAATTCATGCATCTTCATGTCTTTCTTTGGAGAAATCATGTGTAGCCGACCCATCTCACCGGTGTGAAGGGGCCGACAGTAGGGGCGTTGTAGTGTAAAATATCTGATACAATATCCATGCTAACAAGCCTGTGCGTGTGTTTGTACAGTATTGTACGTTCGCCCACTCACGTCCATTGCGCTAGTCGAAGACATGAATTGCTCCACGCCAGCACAATCTGGGTTGCTTCAAGACCAGTCCTCGCGAGGAGGCAGCCAGGAGATGACTGCTTTCTGCACACGGTCTGGGCTTGTAAAAGCCTGGCTATGTGTACGTCTTTTTAGAGTATGGTTGGAACTTGTCCACGCTGCCCCCGCCAAAGGAGAGGTGCAGCGTGTAGTATAACGACCGGCGAGCGCGCGGGGAGGTTATTAACCGTGCGGCCGTGCACGGTGCACACGTGGGCGGGTGTGCCCACGTGTAGGGAGCGCGCGCGTTGACCAACCGGCCGTGGCGTGGCGCACGTGTACAGTAGCACACGTGTCGTCCGTGCGGTAGTCGACGCGTATTACGTGTGCGCGTTAGCACACGTGTCGTCCGTGCGGTAGTCTGTAAGCAACACGCGTGTACAGTAATGCACACGTGTAGTAGCAGCGTCCGTGCGGTAGTAGTAATTATGGCGCTAGCTTTTTAATTGTGTACAGTACCTGGCACGCACTAGGCGGCAAGTACTGTACTACTGTACTGGGACAGGTGTCCGAGGCGTCCCTCTGAGGGGTTACGACCTGACACCCGTCCCTACCGGTAAACTGGGGCAAGCTCGCCCCCGTCCCTTTTGCGCCTACGTACGTCCGTTTTCGGTTGTCCGTCGCGCGCGCTGGCTTCTAACCCGTTACCGGTCGCTCCCGTTCACGCACCACGGGGCGACTGCGCGTAACCGGCCAGTGAGCCACTCCCTTTTCGCGAGCTCGTCCGATCGGTTCAATTGGCGCGTTGCGTCCGCGCCGCGTGCTCCCTCGCTAAAGCCTCCGCCTCTCACCCAACCCAGGGCGGAGAGGAGTTATCCCACATTTGGTACTCTTGTGGAGGGGATAACTCTCGAGGTTGAGCCGCACGCGTGGTCGCTCGATCGCGCGCAGAACCGTACGGACGGAAAAGGTTAAGAAATC